TACGTCCTCATCATTAATGATAACACGATCTCCATCCTTGGTGTCAATACCGTAAGTGGTACGAATCCATCTCTGCCAGAAAACGGCATCAACCCAAGCAAAGCCGACTTGCTTGCGGTCGGACTTGTCCATGTTGATGCGAATAGCCTTGGCTTGGCGCAAGGCACGTTGGTCACCGCGATCGTCAGCCTCGTCAATGCGAAGCTGCTTGGCATCACGGAGCTCTTGTCGTTCATGCTGGAACAGAAGAATCTGCTTGTCCATCCACTCGTTGGCGGCGCTCTTCAACTCGCGCTTGGCTCTCAGGAAGCCTTCCTGGTCCTCTCTGTTGACGATGCCGAGAACGACGATCTTGCCATCCATGATCTCACGGGCATTGGAGGCAGTCATCTCAGGAACAATTGGCAGCCAGACCGACTTCATCCAGTTCAGAACGCCGTGGACGTCGCGCATCTCCTTGGGTGTAAGCGGCTGGTAGTATGTTGGGCGACCTTCTCTGGAAACGAGAAGGCGGGGCCAGGTGGTAATCTTATAGCGGGCGAAGAGAACGGGATCTTGGGTCTTCACGAGCTTAGCCTTGCCGATCAAGCTGAGAGGCAGGCGCTCGAGCGCCATGAAGTCCTCGCTGGTAGTAGCATGGTCGTAGAAGTAGATGAAGATGACCTCCTCCTTCTCCTCGAGGACCTGCAGGGATTCGGCATCCACGTCCTGAACGCCGTCGCAGATATCGATAGCCTTCTCGGCGTAGTGCACGAAGTCGCCGAGGCCTCTAAGCCCGTCGTACTCGACACGCTCACCGCCCTTGAAGAAAAGTATGGTGGGATAACCACGGAGGCGAACATCCTTGCAAAGCCTGGACTCGACATCGCAATTCACTTCTCCAATGTTCAACTTCCCCTTCATCTCCTTGGCCAGTTGCTGCCAGTTAGGCGCCATGGCCTGGCAATGGTGGCACCACGGTGCGTAGAACTTGACGAACCAAGGATCCTGGGTCATGGTGACAAGCGTTTGGAACTTCTCCGCGGTAAGGGGCACGGAAATACCCTCCTTGTTGGGGGTTACGGTGGGCTTCTTGACAATGGCCTTCGTGGGCGTCGCGACAGCCTTCTCTGCAGTGGTGCTAGGCTTGGTCTCCGCCTTAACGGCATCCGGCTTTGCATCTGCCTTGGAATCGGCCTTGGAATCGGCCTTCGCATCGCCCTTGGCCTCGGTGGCCTTCTCATCCTTTGCAGGAGGAGCCTTAGGCGGGGTCTGTTCCTTAGGTGGCGCCTTGGCGTCGGTCTTCTCATCGGCCTTTGCGGGGGCCTTGGAGTCAGCTTTGGCGTCGGTCTTGTCGTCCGCAGCTTTCTTCGAGTCATCGGCCTTGCCAGGCTCCTTGCCGGGAGAGTACTTATCGCCAGCTTCAGGGAGGCTGAGGCTTCGGGGTCTCGATCCAGGCTTGGTAGCTTCCAAGTACTTTTCAAGGATGGGGCTGACTTGATCGATTTCCTTGACGCCCTTGATCAGTTCGGCGACCTCGCCGTTCTTGTAGAGGATGGTGCTGGGGTACGATTGAACATTGTGGGAAGCGCAAAGGTCAAAGTATGCCACGCAGTTGACTGTGGCGAAGCGGAAGTCGTAGAATTCCGTGAAAGACTTGTCCTCGGTCTCGGGTTTTGAAGTGTAGTAAAATTCGTACAGCGTCTGGAAGATGGGCGCATAATCTATGCAATGCGGGCAGTAAGGGCTGGAAGACGGTCAATCAGCTATCGCGCGGCTAGGCAGTCGTCGGCGTCGACCGGGGTGGCAAGCAAGCAAGCATACCTGTAGTGCTTGATAAGCATGAACTGCGAAGACTTGACTTCTTTGTCGAAAGTATCGGGGGTCAGCTCGAGTATTGGAGGCACCTTCATCGAATTGAAGTAGGTGTTCTCGCGATCGTCCTCTTTCGCTGCTGCTTGGACTCCGCCGAGTAGGGACGAGCCGAGGAATAGGAATAAAGGAGATAACCTCATGACGGCGACGAGGTTGCACCGCGCAGGTGCGAAGTGGTTCGAGAGAAGAGAAGTCGCGAAGCGTGTCGTGGAAGATGCGGCGAAAAATGAGGAGAGGGACGCGATCGATTGAGGATGCGCTTGGTTGCACAGGCGTCGTGGAGGGAAGGAGGAGAGTGGATCGATCGGGTCGTGTCGTGATGTGATGGTCGAGGGGTCACAAAAAGGGTCTAGGTAAACCTATTGAGTAGTTGAAGTCATGGAGATTGAGCGGTCGGGGGGAAGACAGAAGACGAATAAAATCGATCTTCCCTTCGTTCGTCTCTGAGCCCAAACCTCCCGAATTCGTCCAGCGGCGTCGAAGGAGAAAAAAAGGGTGGTGGTAGTGGTGGTGCTTTGGCAAAGGGGGAGGAGCCATCAAAGCCGATGGAAGTGACAGGCCTGGGCTGGCAGGTCAGGAGAAAGACCGTGTGTCAAGATTCTGCGGGTAGCGTGGTCCAGCCAGCCAGCCAGCCAGCCGTTGCGCAGGGCCACGCCCAGCACTGCAGGACCGGGACTAAACAAGGACAAGGGCTGCCTGAGAGATGAGGCAATCACGGTTACCTTCAATTACGTGAGCGCGAGCAGAGCTGGAAGCGCGTGGTGCCAGCTGCCCGTCTGGTCTCGCCCTCGATCCCGCCATTCAGAGGCCCCGCAAGCTAACCCTGCAACATTATTGAATGCAAGGCTCCACACATTGCGATAAGAATAGTCTAGCAAAAGCAGGTTCTCCATCCAGATTGCCACCCGCCCGCAGCGGAAACCAAGTTCGTGAACAAGGAAAAGTCTACTGCTAGAGTCTTGCTTTCCTGGACACGTGCGGATCGTCAACCACCACTCCAGCCAGGGGTTGGTGTGGACAACTCTCAGTGACCCCGGATTACATAATGCTAGCATGACTGAGAGAGTGACGACTCATATCAGTCTCATCGCTTAACTCCGGCAATATTTCGTCAAGTCAGGCCTAATATCCTGTCGTGGCCTCGTTGAAAGGGCTCAGATAAGGTGTTTGCCGTGTTGACTGACAGTTGCCTGTGAGCTGCACCGCCTCCGTACGCTCAATATGGCTTGGCCTGCGTGCGCTGCTCTGCCAAGGAGTAGATGATTCGCCCAGATGCTCAGCTGATATGCAGGTCGTTCTCCTCGCATCCCTTCGTTGTCCTGCACATCTTGGACCATGCGGCTGATGTGAACCTCAAATCTCTGCTCAACTAATTTAGCATGGATCCCCTTTCGATCACGACGAGCGTGATCGCTCTAGTTCAGGCCCTCGGTGTGGGAGTCAAGTTCTTCTCCTCCATGCGACAGATTCCAGCGGACTTCTGCGACCTTAGCAATGAGCTCACAGACCTCCAGGCAGTCGCCGAGCAAGTCAAAACTTCTCTTCAGGAGATGGAAAACGGTGAGACCAAAAATGCAGCCGTCCCTGGCATCACTGCTTCTGCAATACAGACCTTGGAAGACGACTTTGCCTCCATCGTTAATGAATTAGAAGCCCTCTGCGGACGCCTCCAAAAGTCAGACCGGCATGCAGACATAGTTGGAGAGCTGCGTGTCTCTAAGCGGAAGTGGCTGCGTGAGAAGGACAACGTCGCCAGGCTTCGGGCGAAAGCGAGCAAAACCAAGCAGAGCTTGATGTTGCGTTTCATTGCTCTTGTTTCGTCACAAAGGTGACTTGATTTACATCGGACTATATAGCTTCGTACTTGCTGATGTTGCATAGTACACGGCAAACAAAAGTCGTGCTTGACGGACAACAAGCTTTCAGTGCCTGCTTCAAAACGATGAACGACAGAATCGAGGCGGGCAACGCTGGGCTTCGAGAAACGCAGAGCAAGAACAACGACATATGCGCTTCACTTCATCGGATGCTAGCCGCTGAGGCCACGAGCGCAGAGCTATCACTGCCATCCACTCCCCATGGACAGAGGTCGAATGCCGGAGTCGACGAGCCCCTGTCATCGATTTCTGTGCACGCCTCACTCCGACAGGTTTGCACCCCCTATTGCAAGTGCCAGTGTCATTCACCTTCGTCGGTTCGGACACCGACATGGGTACGGTAAGTGCTAGGATCGTTGTTATTCGAGTATAACGACATGCCCTTATTGATGCCCCGGAAGTGCGATGATTTAGGGTGCCGTAATCATTCCTCTCTGCGACTCATCTACGTCTTTCCGAAATGGTTCGTATCCAGAGCCGTCTTTCTCACGACCTCTTGGGGGAGTCTCACTGGATTGGGGTCGAGCTTGTATTTGCAAGTTCCGAGGGTAGTGCCAAGTGTGCAGATGCTGTCAGCGGTCTACAACTCCGACATAGATTGGATCAAACGAGGCATCTCAAACTCAACCGTACTGCCAACAGACGTTGATGAAGCTGGTAACTCACTTCTCATGGTAGGCTGACACGCTACGACTCTATGGTTATCTTTATTTCGTCTGTTGTTGACTCTTGGCATCTTTCCAGATCTCACTTCGAAACGTAAACCTGGAGGTCGCCAAGTTTCTTCTCGATCATGGCTGGTCGAGGAGAACTCGAAACATGACAGGATGGTTTGTTCACCAAATGCGCCAAGCAACTCAAATAGTCCATTTCTCATTGTCACTTAGGACCGCGCCTAAGCGGGCACGTATAATTCTCTACTCCGCATCGAAGCAAGACCATCTTTCCACGTTCAATCCAGACCATCGCTATATGATTGAGCAACTTGCACGTGGAGAAGACCGACAAGGAGAAAACTCAACGCTCTTACACGATTCTGTACTCGGAGTTGTTCCGATTCCCCTATCAGATGCAATTACACAGGCTCCTTCCGACATAGATTGCCTTGACGATATCGGGTGGTCTCCACTGCACTGGGCAATCTTCTTGAACGACTACGAGTCGTTTGAGGTCCTCCGTAGCCGAGGCGCTGGCTTAGAAGTGAGAACGCGAGGAGGTTGGACACCTCTTCACTACGCTGCCCACTACGAGCCGCCCGGCTCGATCAAGATGGCTTCGGCTCTCTTGAAAGCTGGGGCAAATGTGCACGCTAGAGTTCAAAATCACATTCGGCCCAGAGGAGAGACTCCCATCATATTCGCTTTCAACAACCCCGACATGATTAGAATTCTTCTGGAACATGGATGTGACACCATTGTTGAGACGAACCTGAACTGGGAAACTCCCCTGTCATGGTTTGCTCGTGGAGTCTGCAATGTTGAGCGAAATGACCTCAGGAGACGCAATTGGAAACGGTCGTTGGAATTGCTCATGAATAATGGCATGGACATCGACCTTCCCTCGAAGCAGGCAGGTTATGAAGGTCGAACACCCATTCACGACGCTATACTGTGGCGAAACGCCGCCCTATTGGAGCTTTTGTTGAAAAGAGGAGCGAGGTATGATGCGATCGATAAGAACGGGTCTGGCATCTTGCACTTGGCGGCTCAGAGTGCAAATCTGGATGTCATCGAGATTCTTAGGGATGCCTGCATAAGGGGTCTAAGTCCAACCCAGCCAAACGTCGCAGGTGACCCGCCGATGAAGATTTTGATGGCCAGAATGCTCGGCGAGGAAGCCAGGCGCCAGCCAGGAGATACAGTGCCAGCATATGACGAGTTTCTCCTTTTCAAACAGCTTCTGCAAGAAATTCAGAAACGAAATTTGGGGCTGTTTAGGACGAGAGACCACGTCGATTCGGTCGAAGACGATGCCATCTCCGAGATTGGCGGGCCGAAAGCCGCCTGCGTCGGCGACGACAACCGAACGTTTGAGAGCAATCTGGCATATATGAACACGGTTCTGTCAACTGGTTCCATAGGGGAGTCTTCCATAGGGGAGTCTTCTTGAGTCGATTGGTTGTGTTAGTGTCGTAACTGAACGATGAGATCGGGATGGTAAAATGTCGCGCCATCGCAGTGTTCTGCGGCAGCGCTACCTCCAGGCACATTCGGTAATTTACAGGGAAAGGTCGGTAGCACAGTGGCTCTGCGGGGTGAAGGTTTCGGCCCTGGAACCCTGCGCCACTGCTTCAGATGCCACTTCACAGGGAACCCAAGATATCATGACTTACACAGAGTGTGAAGCTCAAGCCTGAAATCTTAAAAAGCTTCTTCTTTCTAGCAGAAGTTTTCTTCTTGTTGGAAACAGGGTTTGATTCTGTCCAGACAAATATTTTATGCAGGTGAGGTATCTACAGGCACGTAAATGGGTCTGCAGGCAGGCGCGGTGCGCGGTGTCCAACGCACCAGCCCAAGCCCCGGCGTCTCGCTGCTTTATGCAAGAGCAACCGCTGTTGATTCCACCTTTCTCTTCCCTCCTCCCGTTAAAAGGCATTTGTCCACGATTCAACTTTGGCGACAGATTCATCGATTGCACATCAACGCGGCCACTCCGAACAAGCGTCGTTTCTTGGATGCTCGAGATGGAACGGCCCACGAAAAGAGCCCGCATATGTGACGACGTCGAGGAGTCGGAAACGTCGACGCAGGCAGAAGGGCCGCGATCTCTAAGCAGACCAATCAGTCCTCCTCGCAAGAAGAACAACGGTGGCCAGCGCATCAAATCTCCATTCCAGCTGACTTGGATCCGGGATCTCCCAGAACCAGCGAATCGAGATGCAGTTGCCCTCAAAGACATCCTCGGAGACCCCTTGATCGCAGAGTGCTGGGAGTTCAACTACCTGCATGATATCCATTTTCTAATGAGCCACTTCGACGAGGACACCAAGAGTCTTGTTAAAGTCCACGTGGTCCATGGCTTCTGGAAAAGAGAAGACCCAAACCGCTTGGCCCTTCAAGTAAGTCGATGAAAGATTCCAACGCCGATAGCGGCACAGTTGCTCATGTTTGGCCCAGGAAGAAGCCTCAGCATACAGCAATGTAGAGCTTCACGGTGCCTATATGCCAGAGATGTTTGGGACGCACCATTCCAAAATGATGATACTGGTCCGTCATGATGATTCGGCGCAGGTCGTCATACACACCGCCAACATGATCGCCAAGGACTGGACCAACATGACAAACGCCGTCTGGATGTCGCCCCTTCTTCGCTTGCTGAAAGAAAAGGACAGTACGTCCTGCGAAGATGCTATCGGGACCGGCCAGAGATTCAAGCACGACCTCTTGAGTTATTTGAAAGCTTACAATGTTCGGAGACCCACGCTCAGGGATCTGGTCGACAAATTGAGCCAGTATGACTTCTCAAGCGTGAAGGCTGCACTCATCGCAAGCGTGCCGGGCCGCCATTCAATGCATGACACCTCTCAAACATCGTGGGGCTGGCCCGCCTTAAAGCACGTACTTCGCCATGTTCCTGTCCAAGACGGCAAGTCGGAGATTGTGGTGCAGATCTCGTCCATTGCTACTCTGGGAGCCACCGACAATTGGATTCAGAAGTGTCTTTTCAACCCTCTCTCAGAATCCAGCGACAAGGGGCACAAAAAGACCAAGCCAACATTCAGGGTTGTGTTTCCGACGGCCGACGAGATCAGGAGAAGCTTGGACGGCTATGCATCTGGTGGGTCAATTCACACCAAGATCCAGTCCCAACAGCAGGCGAAGCAACTAGCCTATCTGCATCCTTTCTTCTGCCACTGGGGAAACGATGCCCCCAATGGAAAAGGTGAGGGACGGTGTTGTGCTCATCGAGCTTGATCAACCACATGACTGACAAGGTAATAGCATTGCCTGAAACAGCGACGGTGAGAGAGGCCGGCAGGAAGCGAGCTGCACCGCATATAAAGACATACATTCGATATGGTGAGAAGTCAATCGACTGGGCGCTCGTCACATCGGCCAACATTTCAAAGCAGGCATGGGGCGAGGTGGCAGGAGCCTCGCAGGAGGTGAGAATTGCTTCGTGGGAGATCGGCGTCTTGGTATGGCCTGAGATGATGGCCGAAAAGGCGACCATGGTGAGCACGTTCCAGACAGATTTGCCCTCGAACAACACCGAAGGAAGCAACCCAGTTGTTGGCGTTCGCATACCCTACAACCTACCACTTCAGCATTATGCAAAGGACGAGATACCTTGGGTCGCAACGATGGCCCATGCAGAACCAGACAACATGGGAAGGTTTTGGGGAGTAGCATAGATGGACGGGGCAGCACACTTTCACATGCGAACGGAGGGCGCGGTTGTCTGTCAAGGAACATGTGGTATCGTAATATTGATCCTTGGAGATTTTCATGTGAAGTGTCTGCGACTAGACTCGTCATTGCGCTTCAAACCGTGTCGTTTCTCATGGCATTCCTATGTTCGCGGTACGTTTACGCGCCGACGGTCTCGGGTTCCTTGTTGGCGTCGTAGCCGTAAGACTCCTTGAGCTTGTTGACGAGAGCGATGTACTCCTCCTGGGCCTGCTCGACGGTCTTGCCCTCGTCGACGACCTTTTGCCACGAGTTGTACTTGGCCTTGCCCTGTATCGCGTGTCTCGTTAGCACTGCACGTGGGATGCGGGGGTTTGGCGGCAACCAGGTCTTACCTTCAGGTCGAACATGCCGGGCTTGGGGGCATCGGCGATCTTCTCGCCAGTGCCGACCTTGTACAGGGCTGCGGTGCGATAGATCGTCAGCTACAAAAGCTTGAGGTTTGCAAAAGAGGCGACGAAAACGTACCGTAGAGCTCGAGGAGCTCATCGTTGCTGGGCTTCTGGGTAAGCTTCTTGCTGTCGATGACAGCCTGCTTGAAGGTTTCGCTCTGAGGGGCAGACATGGTGTATGTGAGGTCCGTTTGGACAAGAAAGATCTAAGTCTAAAGGTGTCGAGAATCTGGTTCGAGTTATGGTCGAAGGACGGATTGTTGAGCGTTTCGTGGAGAAGGTTGCCCGGTGTTGGGAGGCGGAGGAAAGGGTTGGATCTTTTGGCGGGGTTAGGGGGTCCACCAGCCCGCCCACGCTTCATCATATGCGCGCGGGGCAGCTGATGCTGTCATTTAGATTAGGTTGAGGTGGGCGCCCTGGCATTGCTGCTGATTGCACCGCCACAGGCCACCTCGCACAAAGCAGCACTTGCCGTTGGCACCTTGCTCCATGTCATAGCCGCCAAGTACTACTACCAAGCACGTATGGACGTATCACTCGACGGATTCACAGGCCAGAAGTCCCTTGCCACAGCGACTGGGTCCTTGCCGACACGGTTCACGAAGAGGTGCAGGTGGCTGCCCACAGCAGAGCTCTGGCGGAGCTTGGAACTCGGGGAAAGGAACGGACTGGACTGGGGGCCAAAGCGATGGTGCAGGTGCTTGGCTAACGTCCTTCCAGCGCATGTGGGGTTGCCAGACCTCTCAACGGGGGTTTGGGTACCAGCATGACTGGACTTGGCTGACCTCGGCTCCAAGATGCCTCTCGCCCTCCGACGCCATCGAGGAGACGGCCGTTCGGTCACGTTGCGACTGAGCTAGCCGCAGAGTTCCGCCAGGCACTTTGATTGGACACACGGCATTCGTCGACGGTGACGAGCTCTTTACTATGCATAGAGGAGCACCTCGCAGGCGTTCTTGCACTCGATCTAGGCTTCAGCGCTCTTCTGGTTGCCACTGACCGCTTGAATGAGCAGTCATTTGAGGGTTCTCCTTCTGCCAGAACAACGTTTCTGGTGTGTGCTGCTCTCGCCGGTGTCGGCACTTTTGCCTTTCCGTGAAGCGAAGGGGCTTCACAGACAGGATGCGCTTTGTCGGGGCCGTACACCTACCTCTTCAGCACTCTGATGCTGGAGCACTCGCGTGGATACTTCCAGGTTTGCCATGGCCATTGAGCTCATGTCTGGATAAGGTTCCTGCGCAACGCTTTCCTGCCGCTTGATCCATGACCAGACGAATCGGATAACTGCTTCTGCCAGCTCCGCGCAGCTTTGCGCGACGCACTTCGCCGTGTTGTCCTAGAGGGCGTTGACGCGTCAAAACAACCGACATCAGTCCGTTAGGAAACGACTGGGAAACGCAGATGATCTCAGCAATCCCCTCCATCAACTCTCTGCTTGCACCGGCTTTCTACATTGAGCACATTGCAGGATGGCCAATCTCATTTTCATCCCTTCTTCCGCAACGCCGTCAAATGACAGACCATCAAGTCTTGGTCGGCGCGTGGGGAAAGCCCGGACGGACACCGCAGATCGACATTCTACCAGGTCAAGGACGGACAGTACTGGCTGAGCTGACCTACCACATGTTGTATCACCAACCGGCACGGACTTGGATACTGAAACCTGTCCAAAAATACTAATGAGACTTCCGCGTTGTTCGTTAGCTCTGGGCGAGGACGCGTATCTGCTCCTTGCGACCCGAAGGGTGCACTCCATGCCGTTTTTGCTCTGCAAGTCTCGGACCTCGCAGAGTGCGAATGCAAATAAAAGCCAGAAGTCTGCCAGGTGTTTTACTAGAAATTTCCAAGATTCTTAAGATTTTCGGACGACTAGACGAATACCCTCACGCAATTGCTGATACACATTGGTCGGTTCAACTTGTTCTCAAGCGCAGTATCTCCATCTGCACAAGAATTCATAGCTTTCATTCACCTAACGCCAGCATCGAGCCCCCAAATCGACACCAACATGGTCAAGACAGTCGTTATCCTCGGTGCCGCATACGGCGGTCTCGCGGTTGCGCACCGCCTGCTCAAGTACACGAGAAAGGATGAGCAGGATCTCAGAGTCATTCTCGTTTCAAAGGTAAGACATGTGCATGTGTTGATTGGTAGGGCAACTGGGAGCCCGGACGACCATTGCAGAACCGGAGAGTACTGCGGTACGCTTCGGACGCCCGTGGGGAGGCGGCGTATTCGCTGGCGATCCACCGTCTTGCGCATGGGGGCGGCAAAGGACTTGCTATTGGGTTCATGATTCTCTCGAAGAAAAAAAGAAAGAAAAAAAAAGGGCCAAAAAAGGCCATTTCGGGCTGACACCATGGTAGACAACTCATTTTTACTGGAATATGGCATCTGTCCGTGCCATTGTCCCGGGCGTATTGAAGGATGAGCAGGTTTTCCAACCGATTGAGTCCGGCTTCGCACACTACCCAAAAGAAAGCTTCGAATTCGTTCTCGGCACCGCCACCGGCCTTGACCTGGCTCGCAAGTCGGCCCTTGTCTCCACCGCTTCCGGCCCGAGATCCCTGCCCTACGACTATCTGGTGCTCGCAACCGGCGCCCGCTCCGCGAGCCCCGACATGCCGTGGAAGAGCGCTGACTCGCACGAGAAGACGCTTGGCTTGCTACACCAGACGGCGGAGAAGGTCAAGGCGGCCCGGCACGTTGTTGTCGCCGGCGCCGGCCCCACCGGTGTTGAGACCGCCGCCGAGATCCGTTTCGAGTACAAGGACAAAGAGGTCATCCTCCTCAGCGGCGACGAAGAGATTCTCGGCTCGGACCACGCTGCGAAGGGCATCGAGAACGAGATCGTCCGGCTGGGCGTGCAAGTCAAGCGAAACGCCCGGGTCGCCAACTCCCGTCCCTTGCCCGACGGCCAGACCGAGGTGACGCTCATGAACGGCGAGAAGCTCAAGACAGATCTTTACCTTCCGACCATGGGCCTGATCCCCAACTCCGAGTTCTTGGATCCCAGCTTGCTGACGGAGCGCAAACACGTCAGCGTTGATGACTGTATGCGCGTGAAAGGTGCCGACAACGTTTGGGCATGCGGAGACTTGGTTTCCAAACCCCGCGCGGGCTTCATGGTGACCGACAAACAGGTTGGTTGTTTCTCCCTACATTCCGTTTCGAAAACAAACAAGTGACCGAAACTAATCAAAATCACATGAGCAGGCCGCCGGCGTCGTAAAGAATATCGAGCTCGCCATCAAGGGCAAGGACCAGCAAGTCGTAAAGGGCATGCCGGTCGACATCTTTGTATGCTCCACTGGTCGTAGCCGCGGCGCCGGTCGCGTCGGCTGGGTCAAGGTCCCCTCCCTGTTCGTCTGGGCCGTCAAGGGTCGCACGTTGGGCTCAGACTGGCTGCCCAAGTATACAAATGGTTCACAATGGTGAGCGGGCGATGAGTAAGGCCGATGACGACGACTTCAATGGGGGTGTCTTGTAACCGTTTTATTTGTACCTACATCTTACAACCTCTTAATCAGACACTTCTCCGTCATCTGAAAAGGAGTGAGCTCTTCGCAGACTATATTTACGACTACCCCAATCTATCTAGTGCAATCTGCCAACTCCGCCGCCGAGCAGAGCGTTCTTTGGATTCGCGTCCGTGACAGCTCCCAAGATGAACATTATGGTCCTGCATGCACAAGTGCATGAAAGCAAGGGGACAGATTGTTTAAAAAAAAAAAAAAAAAAAAAGACTCCCGCGTAAATTTGACGTGAAAGATTCCCAGCCGCACCAGGTCCCAGAAACGAAATAGCCCAAGCCGGGCTCGTGAGACCGCCATGCTTTCTTTTTGTTCGAGATTGCTTCTCATCTGCTGAGCTTCTCATCTTCAATATCCCGACGCAGCTGCTCTAGTACTTGCTGTCGCGAGGAGAGGTGCGACTCGAGACCCTCCACTTGTTCTCTCACCGTCTGCAAATCTTCAGACACGCTCTTGAGACTAGCTCCGCCCTTGGCCTTGCCGGAACCCTCCTCAAGCTCCCGGAGTTCCTTTCGCTTGTAGTCCAGCAGCTGCTCGAGCTCCCGCTTGACCAGAGCGGGCTTGCTGTCTCGTTTGCCGCCCTTCTTTTGCTCCACGCCAGCTTCGATACGCGCCGTCTTCTCGTCGAGCTCCTGGAGCTGCTTCTTGAGCCTGACCTCCTCCCAGTCATCCGTCTTGGAGGTAGAGAAGTCGGTGCCGCTCGACTTGAAGCCACTGCGACCAAGGCGAGTAAGATACTGATCGCCAAATTTTGCTTTCCGGCCCGTTGCCGTCGAGTCGTCTGCCTTTGTGGCCCAACGGGAAGAGGCGGGATTGTTATTGTCGAGTTGGTAGTCAATCTTGTTGCGCTCGAATGAGGCGCGCAAGGACGCGGGTACGGTGCGCGGAATGCGGAAGCCCTCATGGCGGTTGTTGAGAATGTGGAGGAAGGCGAGGCAAGCATCCTTGTTGATGGAAGAGCCGGCAGAGGGGTTGATTAGGTTCCACGCGGAGCGGATGTCGGTGTCGGGAACATCGAGGGATTCGTAGAGGTCTTCTAAGGCAGAGACTGCAGCCATCACAGGTCAGCAAACAAAATGGCGGCAGCAGGGGGCGTGCGAGCTTGGACGTACATGAGATTTCTCCCCGCGCATCCCGGTTCTCCTGGTATATCGACTCGTACTTGGACTTGTCCTGGGGCGTCATGTACCAGTCGAAGCCGTCCTTCAAGCCAGGAGAGTCCGGATCGTCCTCGACCTGCTCAAAGGCAACTTGCTTCCCTGCGAGCGCGCGATTCGCTTGGACAAGATGTGCTTTGGACTCAGGCACGAGCCAATCGGGCAGCGTCGTGGGGACGTCTGCGTACTCCTTATCGAACACAATGTCATTAGCAGCTGAAAACATGAAGACCAGCCAGCAGCAGCACCCACTCCGTTCAGAATGTCAAAAATGACTCTCATCGCAACGCAGAACTCCTCAAAATCGAGGTTGCCATCGTTGTCGACGTCGGCGAGATCCCACACCCGCTCGAGCTGATTGTCCGTCAGGCCGCTGTTCTTCAGCACCGGCGCGGCTTGTTCTCCTGTCAGGAACTGCGACCCGCCCGTCCGAGCTGAAAAGATGTTCCAATACGTCTCGATTTCTTGCGCTTCGATGCGAGG